CCAGTGTCCCGACAGCAAGGAATCCTACCATCGGTACTTACCCAAACTATACTAGTAATACCTGTACGGTTACGTATAGCGAAAGCAATGGCGCTGGATGTCCACTAAAAGTTCCTTCAAAAGTTTCGGGAGGAGCGTTCGATGATTCAGCCGGCATCGCGATGATCGTGCAGGATTAAACGTTCCGAATGGCCTCCCTACCTGACGAGTCCGTGAGGCCAGACTGTTTTAACGAAATTTCAATGGCGCCTGCAGCGTTAACCGGGGTCTTCGACAATGGTGCCCTGTTGTCAGGAAGGGGGCTTCCTTCAGAAGACCCTTTGTCAGAAACTGGCAGGCTACGGAGTTGGATGAGACATCGAGGAGCTTCGGGATGACTTGTTACTTGTAAATGCGTCTGCTGGGTGCTACTTGAAGTCAATTTTTTTTAGCGGACAACTTTTATTTGTGTATGACGCGTGGACCATCGCGCGATTGTGACTCCCCTCACAATTCTTGGACGATATATGGGCTTAGACCGGGTTATGATCTGGTCGTCTTGTATTCTCGAGTTACGAAGTATATTTTCTAAGAGATCACTGGAGCTTCTTTGCGATCCGAACAATACAAATTTTATGGTTTCACTTGCCGAATCAAATTGAACGATTACTATAGCCTGCGTGTCAGTTGAATTATGAGAAAAGTAGAAGAAGATCGAGAGTGACCTTTTGGATAATTCAAGAGTTCAATAGAAACACACGTGTCGCGCACACAACGTATTAACGATATGTTCTCGAAGGGATAACCACGTGTTTGTCGCAGCGTAGGGAAGTACCCTTTTCATGGAATTTAGACCAATTATACCTTTACAGAGATCGGGACCACGTACAAACAGGGCCACGGTACTAATCCAATAACCATCCAATAGCAACTCGCGATATAATTTTGTCGGAGACCCCCAGCGATATCGATCCTTCGGTAAAGTGCGCGTGGCCAGACAGCCTATAATTTTGGCACCCCCGCAAAGAAACCGCAGACCGGAATTAAGTCCGTTTGTCGGGAAAATCGTCGCGCAATCAGACGCAGGATAGTCGGTTAGTAGGATAGCTTCGAGATAACGAGCGGTAGGCGTCGGGACGCCGCACGAGGCTGATCTATCGTTTCTATCGCCGCGGGTGGGAACCGTCGCTTATTTCGATATTTGCCCTTAGAAAATTCGAAAGAATTGCACGGAAAGTCTGCGGAGGACAGTTCGATTAACCGCACGGCGGGGACACCGTTGGTTTTCAAAAGAGCTTCGTCGTTTTCCGGTGATCGAGTCTTTTTTCAAAATCACTGACATCGCGTTTTCGAATGATATTTTTTTTCGATTATCTTCAATGTACAATGGTAATTTGAAATTTTTTGTACTCCTGGCCTTGTTTCTCTACTCGCGTCGGTTTTCAGAATTTTTTTAAGGACTTTCGCAGCATTTCCGCTACGTTCTTGGTGCAAGCTGAGACAAAGGAAGCGCACGTCCCGGGAAATTTCAGTTTCCAGAAATTCACGAGAAGGGAGTCCTCGCACCGTAAGCAATCGGGATATGGTCTCTACTAGACGGCTTCATCTTCCTAAATTGAAAAGTGCCTCGAGTACTACGTGACACTTCGTAATGGGACCACAGGAACAAAACAAGACAAAAGTACAACTAGCTGTGTCCCAGAAGTAATTAGAAACAACCAATTTGAAAATTACCGTTGACCAATAATAAATAAAAATTCTACATATAACATTTAAAATTGACCAAATTTTCAAGCTTCGAATAGATCTCTTGAATTTAATAAGAAAAAAGTTCAGTACCCAACAAATAAAACATAGATATCAAATCCAACCTGATGACTCTTATACCTACATACTTCAATCACGTTCGTAAGTATAATATAGAGAAAACAATTAAAAAGTACCTACACCCAAGATCACGCAGAAAACAGCCGAAAAAAATATCACGTCCTCGCTGAACTAAATAAATAAATTAGTCGCGGTGCTTGATTCAAATTTTGGAAAATTAATTTGTGTACCTACAGTCACGGCATTCCGGTAGCTGACAGACAATTCGCGTAGGTTGACTATAACGCGGCAAGTAACCTGTCGACGATCAACCGAAGACTAATAAGCGGGCGGCCATTAATAATTAATTTACTCCCTTGTAGGCCCACCTAACTCAGCCTAATAATTTAATCAAGAACTGACGCGTCACGGGCTGCCTAACAAGTAACAAGGCGTACTCCTGTCAGAGCACAATTTGATAATCGTTGTAATTTCGTTCGAAGGCGGAAACGGTTTTCGACGCCAATTGACTGCTCGCCCCTTCGGATGGCCGGGGCCTAAGCCTTTCTTCTGGTACACCTGAAACGCCTTTCGTAACAAGCGACGCGTATCTGGCAAGGAGGAGCAAGGAGACAGGGGGGGCGACACAACGCTCGTCCCTTCCTGCGGCTAGGCAAATGCACGCTTTTCTTTTGCCCCGTTGCCAACGGTACGTAGTCGCAATGCTAACAGCCGCTACCACCGCCAGAGCGACCGTAGCCGCCGCCACGCGTTGCGGCTGCTAGTTTAAGGAGGGAATCCTATTGTCTCACTTTTCATTCCGTCCAGTCATCGGACGTAGAAATTACGTTGAAGATTATACACGGCATACGGGCATGCACGCTCAGACGTCTTTTTAGCTGTCGTCGAATGTCTGACGGCCTAATCGCGCACCTGTCTCATGCGCGTTCTTCAATTTTTTTTGAGAATATAGTTTGGGTGATGGGCCAGGTTTCTTTTTGAAAACGGTGCTGGGTATCGCGCGTCGGTATTAATGGCGGCACGAAAGACACGGTGAGACGGAAGATTTTTAACAGATTTGTATTTTATAGGTTATATCGCTTTTTCTTATAAATGAACTTATTTGGCACCGCGATGTTTTTAAGCGGAGCTATTACAAAATTGGTAGTCCGTCCTATCAAATTTGGGAAATGCGACAGTCACGTCGTGTAGTCCTCCAAGTTTCCTCGAATCTATCGAAAAATGACTGTTGGGGTTGAATGTGGAAGTCATTTTCTAGAGACAGGAAATCATAGCCAGGTTTAATAAAGTCTCATTACTGTCTGGACCGAGTCGCGAGTCAAAGTGGACTGTCCGACACTTGTCCAAGATTGAAAATCTTCAAGAAAAAAATTCATCAAACACAAGCATCGGACTGTCCGCGTATCACAGCCAGCCGGTAATGAGACTTTAACCAGACAAAAATCACTGCAAGGACTCGACCAAGACTCCGTCGAGTTGAGAGGTACTCGATCGACATCAAAGAGACACACGGCAGACTCTTCTCAGACATGTATGATACTTAAAAATTTTTACCACAGGACATTCGTACAGTAATTCAGACTTACGTGTATTTCGCGGGAATGGCAGGTGCACGAGAGTCAATACAGTAATAACGCTCAGCCGATGCTTACGGGTTCGTATAATTTGGCCCGAGTAATCTCTCCTACGAAACGCAATACAGGACGGAGTACAGGCGACAGAGTAAGAGAGGAAGAAAGTAAATGCGAGAGTGAGCACCGGGTAGTGGGACCAAAGAGATTGGTAGAGAAGGAGCAAACACTCTCGTAGAAAAATATCCCGTTAACGATTACCAGCCCCTCTCTGCGGGCTCGTTATTGTGTCCCCTCGCAGAACTTAGAAACAAAAGACGGGTGGAAGGCGTGCGCTGATTGGCCCGCGTGCCGCGGCCCGTCGTGCTGATTGGCCCGCGCGACCGCACCCACCCTGCAATGGCCGCTTTGTCGGTGTGTACGCGCCAGTACGTTCAGCGCGCACCCCTTCGCGCTCTCCAGATTATATCAAAATATAATCACTACCCGGTATACAACCCGCGCCTATGCTCCATCCGGTCTACGGGCCTTATTGCAGCTCGCCGCGAGCCCAGCGTACAGAGGACCTTGTTCCGAAGCCACCATGCGGAAACCGATTCCGCGCATAGTCTACCGTTTGCCGTAACTAACCTTCCCAGCCAGGGAACATTTTTCCTTTATACGCCCGCTTCTTGGACCCCACGGCTTTCTCGGCCTTTCCCTCTCTGTTCCTCCGGCCCTTTTATTCCCTTCAGCGCCATTGCCAGCCTTTTCCTCCGCCGCCAACTCTGGCCCTTCGCACCCTTTGCACCCTTTGCTCAACTCACTCGCTTCCTTATCTCATCTCGCCATTTGCGACGTTCATACTATCCGATCCTGCATCCGGTTATCTCCTCTCCCTCTCCACCTTTCACATTATGATCCTTTGTCGTGGATTTCTTTGGTCTACCTATATTTCGTTGGTGGAATTCTCTATCCCCCCTCTTACCACTAGTTCACTCATCGTATCCTCTTCCAGGAGGGAGCGTCATCGGAGTACCACTGGCTTCCGCCATCCTGAACCAGTTGCGAGACTTGGACTGTACCGGAAAGGGTCTGGTTTGACCCCACCGTTAGTACGTTGCCGTTCGCCAATTTTCGATGTCGAATACCTAGACCTGACTGACGGAAACCATCGTCGTTCCGTGTATCGATGAAACTAAGTACAGTGGATTTCGCATTCATCGCCGAGACTCTTTGGGTACGTAATAAGTGACTGCCTGCTCTTACCTTTTTTTTCTCCATGCAGTTTTCTTCCTTCCGAAAGATTCTCTCTTATCGACCGATTCTCAACCTTGACGTTCTTAACGATTAAATATTTCCACGTTTATGCAGTACGTAAGTCTGTTTTACCGTTTAGCTAGATAACTTTGCATTTGAGTACGTTTCTGCTCACTGTTCATTGCTATTCATTTATTCCGTTGGATCCTACTGTACTGTTAGTGCATGGCGAAATATACGTGGAGGCGCCACTGGGAATAACAAGCGAAGAGTGGCCGAGAGTATCGTGATGTGGTACGATCGTTAATATATATTATTGTCATTTGACGTGTAGGCTGTGATCATGTATTTGGTACGTAACGTAGCACCGTAACCCCGGCTTACCTGTATCCTGTCCTCGGGAAGATCCGTTCGAAGGCTGAGCATCTCACGGGCGTAGACGTCCGGATAATGGGCCTCCTTGAAGGCTGCTTCCAGCTCCTCCAGCTGCTGGGACGTGAAGATCGTCCTGGAGCAACAACCATATGAACCTAGTTATATGCCATTACAACTTTTCCCCTAAGTCTACCCTATCTCTCGGCATCTCAAGCACACTCGCAACCTCATCTCGTCGGCATTGTCTGAGGCAGTGTACTACGTAAAATAGGGTAATTCGTCAAGACGGGTATACGTGCTCTTGACGGAGTGGCGGATTCGATGGCAGGTGATAATTTCAATTTTCTTAATAATCAGAACCAACATGGGAGACTGAGGTCAAGCTTGGACTGACCTTCGAGCTCAAAATAAATATCGTGAATAATTTAAAAATTATAGGCATCAAGACGCTGGGAAGCAACGTTCATAACGTATATGTATTTACGGCTTAATTGAATCATTTCGTAAAATGACAAAAGTCAAGTTGGCCTTACGCTTTCTCTATCGAGTGAAGACCCAATACGGACGCGGACAAATTCGAGGTTAAGACGCCCAATTAGTAATAATTTGACAAATTGCCGGTTGCAGCAAATAGGCAGGCATCTGTTGGGCTCGAAATTCTTTCGAACCGAAAGTCACTCTCTGGACGATCATCATCTCGTTAACTTGACTCGTTCGGCTTCACGTTAGAATCGACCGCTAGATCGTTTCTCGATCCTATCGATTCTTGATCGTAGATCGCTGATCGTTCCACCTCGACTAAGACTGACACTTCGCTTTGTTCATGGCTGTGTGTTATTATGAAGGGCGTTAACGAGGTTTCGTTAACGTTGACACTGATGAGAGTGCGAGCATCGTCAAGGCAAAACAGTCATTCCAGTTGATCGCAATACGTAACTTTGGACCACGTGGAAATATTCGTTAAAATCAAGAAGGCGACACTAAATCGATGTTAAATAAACAAAAATTTTACCTTATGGACAAAGGTAAAATATTTTACAGATTTAAAAAGAAAATATTTTTTTTATGAAACTTTTATGAAAATCGACATCACGCTCTGGGAGATATGTTACGAGGTTCGTGAGAGCGTGGTGCAATCTAAAATGGCGCTGCGCGTTGCGAAATGGCCAGGACGAAATGCGAAGGAATTTTGTACAGACACGCGTATGTTAATATCGCTTTGATATACTAAATTTTTCAAGAATTTTGTGAGTGTACGGCTGAGTGGCAATATCTTTGGCGGATGACCTTTTCAGGAGGATTCCTATGATATGTAAAAGTCCACAGTCATTCCACAACCTGTCATCGTCTTGTTAGACCGATCATTGAAAATAATGCACACTGTGTTCTGGCTCTTAAGGTTGATTAGCATTTATGACCTCTAATTTCTTCAAAAGGAAATGTGATGATCTGTCGGTTATGTCTTGTAAGACCATTCAGATTTGTTGATTGCTTGGAAATTGTTCGTCAAGCGTTCAAAATGATGTTACGGGATGAAATTTTAAAGAAAATATACTGTATATACTTTTTTTTTACCTATTTCAAATGAAAAACAGTTATATAATCATATATCATATACGATATATATTCTATAATATATAGTAAGATGTGATGCTTATATTTTTACTTGAAACTCAGATTACGTATATTATCATTCAATGATCTGGTGTCGGGTACAATATTCGTTAAATGTTATTGTTCGATTACGATCAGAGACTCACCTATGACGACGTTTTTTCTTCTTCTTTTTACTGTAACCAGGAAGTCCGTCGACTGTGAAGTCTTTGCCCGACTCGATATTATGCCCGACGCCTAGAAAAATAGAGACAAAAATTGCAATGTAATTTCAATAATTATTAAGATCTTATCTACAGTTAAGGGTAGATAGCATTATAAATGTTAAAATTATAATGTGAAAATGGTTGAGCGGTAATAAAAGACAGGTATATAGTAGAAATAGTCTTTAGAAGTAGCTAACGAAAAAAAAAGGTAAAATGAAAAAAATAGTATTTGCCCGCGTCTCATAATAGCAATTACGAGAATTCATTAAATCTGCGCCAGCAGTAACGTGTTTCATTGAATTTGACGTTCATTATTTCATTCTATAGTCTGTAATTGATAACCATCCGAACGAGTGTAGAAAGCAGGTAGACGTAGAGAAGCCCGTATATCAAATTACCCATTATAACCAGCTTAGCGATTCTCTAGTTCGTCGTTATTTCATTGTTGGATAAATCGCATTAACTAGCAGGGAAACTGAGAGGTTAAAATTCCGAATGACTCGAATAAAAAGCATACTGAAAGCACTGTAAGTTGTTTGGTCGAATTAGACTGGTGAGTTAGAACTAATATGAATGGCATATAAAAATATGGTATATCGGATAGATAAGGACTGAAAAAGAAACGAAAAATTAATCAACGCGATATTTAACAACTAATGATTTCAGAAGATATTTAAAATAACTTTAAATGCACGAACAAAAAATATAATGAATTTCAAGTGAATTTATTTACATTTTGAAAAATGGACAAAACATAAAAACTTTGTTCTAAGATATATGGATTGATTAACTAGGTGGTAGATACTGACTGTACACCTATTAGGCAACGTCATAATTATTTCCGAAATCGTATAGAAAGTCGAAATGAAAAAAATAATTTAAATTTTTTATCTTGTCAGGGGAAGGAACATTCGGTGGTAAAGAAAAACAATAATTAATAGAAAATGTAGACTAATTTATTTAGGCAAGACAAAAGTCCTCTTTCGCTAGGATACATAGGTTGAAAATAATTATCAATTATAAATTAATTTTGAATTAACGAGCGAAAAGTTCAGTGCGGCACGGTAGTACAATAAAGAGCAAACCCTTCCCCGACATCAGCCATGCGCCGTTACAAGCTCGCAGTAGATATGTACCGACCGCTAGTGGCGGCTAATTAACTATTAATTACGAGCTTAATCCCAATTATATATCCCTTGACTAATTGGACTCTGAAACACTGCTGACGTCACTATGAAGCGTTCGCAACTCGACTCACGCAGTTTACCTAATCGTGAACTCGTACTGCTCCACGGTGCCGGGGTTAGGAAAGAGACTTTGGGAAATTTTCGGAACAAAGCTGACGGTGACGAGACGTCGGCCATATGGCTGGTTCTAAGCACTCGTCAGAGCTCTTTTAAAAAGCCCCAGTGCAGCCCGTCCCGAGTTTCCCCCTTCTCGCCCTTTGCCCCTTGTCACTTTTTCCTTCGAGTTTACCTTTTCCACGTGGTTATTAGCCCCGCGTTAAAAAAAAAATTAAATTAATAATGACGCAAATTCGTATAGTACAAAGACAGCTTTTTTATAGAAAAACAGCAGCGACCTCATCCGCATTCAAATTTCCTGGTTCATTTCCCCTTTCAAGTACTCCTTAAGTATCCCTTTCACGAAAATGCGAAACTACATATTTCAAATGCAATTATTAACACTTAACGCGACAATACGCGATGCATTGTTTGTCGAAGCCAAGGAACCCTCCTCTTTACGCCCCCGCCGGTATATTTCTTACAGCGCTTAGAGTGCACTTATTCAACCCGTGCTGTTGAACCAATCGTTCTATTAGGTGACAAAGAGTCGGCACCCGGTGGATATCGTAAACCTCTCTCTTCGAGAGAGGAAAAAAAATATGAAAAATAGCCGAGCTCATTACCGTTAATTTCATAAAAATTTTCCCAGAGGCATACCACGGTAATCCGATGAATTCGACATTTCTAGTTTAATGACCATATGCAAAAAATTATTTCTACTGTAGACCAGTTAGCGATTCAACGCTGGCGGTATTACACAACGAGATCGATGAATCCTATACCAAATGGTACGAAGACCTTCAAGCGATTTGCTGTAAGCAAATCAATTAACGAAATCCAGTTAGCGTTTGCCAGAGTGAGTCTAGAACCCTAATGCACGAAACGTTAGGTGGAACATCGATTGTCTAATTCCTACTGGATCTAATCCGTTTGCAGTGCCAGCCTCAAGGGACCATCCGAATCCCTCAGGAGACCAAGGATTCAATACTGGCTGTGGTGAAATCCTGGATCAGCGTCGATCGGAAGACGGCGTAGATCGGTATCAAGATCGAGTGCGAGTACGTAATTGGATAACCTATTGAAATTTTCTAAATCTTTTATTACGACCTTTGACCTCGAAGTAGAGATCCTGCAGTATCATTGATGACCACAGTGATGAACACTAAGGCGAATCTCCTGAATGGGAAGTGCCTGCTCCTCTGTTTCTAGTCAAGCCTGAACGATGCATGGTGATGATCATTCTCTCGGAAGTGCAGCGCGTGCTCCGTTTTGTTTTGTCCCCGTGAGTGTCATCGAACATGGGAATAGAGGATTACGTGGAGCAAGAGCCGGTGAGGACTCCCGGAAGAGAGAGCAGAAAAGACTGGAATCATTTAAGGGAGGCCAGTGTCTTGGTTTTCGCGGAGAAGCAAGCCTCTATAGAGAGAGGGAATCTGGCAAGAGTCGGCTCTCGAAACACCCTCGCATCAAAAGGGTGGTAGTTTCGCCGCTAAATATATTCAGCCGATACGCACACACAGTGCCCACTCCCGGTATAGGGGTTGGTACTGGGCGAGGGTGTGCTGCTCTCGGGAACTCGAGGTTGTGTTGGTATACCGGTTACCAGGCAACCGGCAATAAAGGAGCGTGGATAGCCAATGGCGGCCCTCAAAATACCCCTTCGTCTAACACGGCTTGTTTTCCGTGCTTAAGAGCGAGACAGAAGGAGCTTTTGCTTTAGTAGCTGTTAAGGCTTTAAAGCCACAACCCTGTGCTAAAACGGGCATTCGTCGGGCCTCTAGTTTGGATAATAGATATTCTAATCCACGAAAATTGGTAAAGGTTTTACTTACCAGAGCCACTGGTACCACTACACCGCTGCCGCTACTATTGTCAGCAGTGTTATCACGTCTACCGTCAGCAAGGAACGCTATCCATACTGATTCTTGACTACCGCGTACTTCGTGTATTGTTTTTTCTTTTATCCACTATTTCAGCTCACTCTACAACAGTTTCTTTTGCTCCTTACCATTGGAGCTTACTCCCTTTGTCCGCCCTCAACCAAAATTCACGCATTTTCTTTATATCTTCCACGTCCGTCTCTTTCTCGTATTTTATTAACGTGACGGTTCAGCCTGAACTAGCATATCGTTCCTGGTAGTGACCCTGGTGGATCCGCTAAATTTCCACATAATCGTCACACGCTGCATGACCTTACGTAGAAATTTTATTTTTAAAGTCGAGGACTCGCCGACCTCCTACCTAGGTCTGCATTGACCCAGTGAAGACCTGGACACGCTTTCGAAATACGGTATAAAATTTCTACCAGGGATCACGTATTTATGGATTTTATACGTGCTACACGTAGGTAACTTAGCTGACTCGGTCCTCGGATGTAGATGTCGATTGATTAACGAGTCGGTTGCCTTGATCAGAGTCCCACGTTGCAGTGAAAATTAGATTTAATCCCAGCGGCAAGTAGCTTCTGTCAATGAAGGCGCGACTAATAGGCTACCCACGAGGATGGGTACGATAGAGTTTGCGCCTGGCAAATGGAAACGTGCGAAATGTATCTACACGTCGTTACGTCGTTACGCGGACGATTGTGTGTGCCCCGCGTCTCGTGGGAGGATGACTGGGTAGAGCACGTAGTACGCCCCTGGGACGTCTTGCGACCACTTGTCCGTATTAAACGGGTACTAATCCCGAAATTTAATTTGAAAATCTTTTCACCCTGGTCCCATTGCCAGTCGCTACCCACGATAAGGCCACCTCTCTCCATAACTTCACTACGCCACAACACGGCCGAAGACGCTTTAAACCCGGAATTACGTCTTTGTCCGAGATAATTGAAAATTTATTTCGGCTCGTTCCCGTTCGGTGCCCCGATTGACGTTGAAGTCCGTGGATTTTGAAAATCCTAACGCTACTCGCGATCCGCGCCATGAAAAACGTTTCACATGCTTCCGTCATGTGGACGCACGCGTCACTCCCTTTTTACGAGACACCAGTGACCCGTTTGCGAGAGATTCTACGTCCTACTGTCAACCCCTTTGCACCGAGAAATAACGCTGCTTTCCGATTTGATACGCTAAGCCTGTACTTTCGTCACGCCTTTCGGATGACTTTGCTATTCTTCCTTCGTCCTTCTCCCACCTTCGTAAGTCCTTCGACTCCGTGCTCCCTTTTCTCTGGTCTCACGACGCTGACTCCCCCGTTGACGTCTGGAAGCGACTACGACGTCGACGTGGAGACGCCCGTGGGAGATCGTCGTCGAGAAGGGGTGCATCGACTCATGGATTTTTCAGAGACGCGTCAGAGCGTAAACAGTGTTTTCAATAATTTTGAAAGCACCAAAAAAATCGATCTTCCTTTCCATGGGCTAGGCGATACATCGCATGGGGGTGTGTATGCCTGAGGGTGGTTGTTCGTGCTACTAGGGTATACCATGCCTGTATGTAAACGTGTGTATACTATCAAGGGTTTCGGAGGAGACGGAGGTGAGGAACGGAGTCGGCGTTTGGTACTCAGACATTTATGTTGTTGCCGGCAGGGCGAATCGAGGGTCGCCCGCGCGGACGGAGTCCCTGATCCATCCCCAGGGATGTTTCGCTAGATTAGGGACCCCTGTTCGTTTTTGCTAGACCATGCAACAACGTGTAAAACACTTGTAACGGAGCGACGGCTTAGGGTAAGCTATACTAATGTTCTCGCAATGTCACTCGCGCGGGAACAGGATTAATTCAGTTAATTCGTTCTCGGGCTA